CTGCTCGGCCGCAAAATTTTCACTTTTTCCCTTTTGCTTGTATCGTCTTGGCTACTCTTGGCTACTCTTGGCTATTTCACTTTACCTGGACGCGAGAATGTCTCACAACTTTCCCTTCGGCTTATCCGACCCTACATGTGTCAATCTCAACACAGCCTCCGCCAGAGATGTGACCTGTTACATCCTCTATACTGGCAATGAGTACAATGGCAACCTTGGGGCGCGCATCTCTTCGGTCTTCGTCATCCTCTTTGTGTCATCAGCGGTGACCTATTTCCCTGTTCTAGCGACTAGAGTGAAGCGATTAAGAATTCCACTTTATGTCTATCTCTTTGCTCGCTACTTTGGAACCGGAGTTATTATCGCAACAGGCTTTGTCCAGTGTGTTTAATTTTCTGCTATGTGAAACGATTCCGCGGCTGATTGCTTCATAGTCTCCTCGACCCGTCTTACTACGAGATCGGCCAGAATACATGCGTGGGCATGACTGGCGGATGGTACCAATATTCTTGGCCACCAGCAATCGCCCTAGCAACCGTGATGTTGACCTTTCTGATGGAGTTCCTTGCCGAGCGTTACGTGGAGAAAAAGTACGGCATTAGTCAGCACGACAATGTGAACCCAACCGACAACCACCTACGATCAGGATCAGTGGACGCTGCAATGCTACGCTACGACCTCTCACGGCGTCGTTCGGTCCCTGCTTCCGCCCACCCTGAAGCACGAGATGACAGACTTGAATTAGAGCCGTCGTCTCCACAAGGAGGTTTGCCAGTGTCTAAGAACACGCAGGCTGTCGCTCAAGACGATGAACGAGACCTAGAAGAAGAGAAAGACCAAGCTGCAGCCCTGGCTTTTAGGCAACAGATTGCGGCCTTTCTGATCCTCGAATTCGGTATAATTTTTCACAGTGTAATTATTGGTTTGACGCTTGGAACAGCCGGCCCGGAGTTCTCAGTTTTGTATCCTGTCATCGTCTTCCACCAATCCTTCGAAGGCCTAGGTATCGGAGCTCGTCTGTCTGCAATTCCATTCCCGAGGCGATACAGCTGGATGCCCTGGTGGCTGTGTGCCGGCTACGGCCTTACCACCCCGATTGCCATCGCGATCGGCCTTGGCCTTCGGACGACCTATAATTCCAACAGTTATACGGCAAACGTTGTTTCTGGACTACTTGACGCGATTTCCGCCGGTATCTTGATATATACCGGGTTGGTGGAGCTCATGGCTAGAGACTTCTTGTTCAGCCCTGACCGCACCAACAACGACAGGAAGTTGGCTTTCATGATTATCTCGATGCTGCTAGGCGCAGGAATAATGTCTTTACTTGGGAAGTGGGCATAGGTCGCGCTCTATTGTGACCCGGCGGGTGCTGCTACGGATTGTCTGCCCGGTCTCATTTGTTGCAGCAGCTAGGAGTAATCTCGTCATGAGTTGACTCTCCATGAATGTCACGAGTAGACAGAATAGAGAATTGACAACGCTGAGAAAGAGAGCAACACCACAGAGCCCGCGCTAAGAACACCGCCAAGAAAACTTAGAAGACTCCGCAAGCTTCCCGCATAAGGAATTCTTTTTCTTTATCCTTTTGAGTTCTGATATCTAGGCTATCTAGATAGAATAATCTGTTTCAATTGTATCATCACTCTATAGTACCGTATATGCGGAAGGTTAGCACCAAATGCAGAGGAAGCCTTCTGACAATGGACCTGTTTCTTTCGACAGAACCGCCATCCAAATCACTAATACCTACTTTCGCGTAACCATGATTCACTGACTAAGGCCATCACAAATATATCAGAAGTTCTAGGTTCTGATGTAGTGTGGCTGCCACACAAATACATGGCGCATTTATGTTCGTACCGCCAATGAACATAACATTTACACGTTGGCCTTTTATCCTCTAAGCACAGCCCCAAGATGCAGGCAATCACCACTAAGCTCTAACGTAATATGTAGCTATCTAAACTTAGTATAGTATTTAACTAGCTACTAAGTATTTATTACTATTTATACCCGTTCGCCTACTTAGCTTATCCTACCACTTCCTCACTTTTTATCGCCGAAAGGCTCCGACCAGTCTCTTAAATATGCGGGCGTCTAGAGACCTAATAACTCTAAGGTTATTCTTTCAAAGCTACTCCAAGATCTTCTATCGATAAATAGGCATTAAGAAACCTAAACGTAGTGTTCAATTTATTAAATTCTCTTCATAAAAATGCTAGCCTCTAAACTTATTAGGATTTAAAGCACTTACCCTTAAAATATAAATCAGAATTTATGAGCCTTATCTTAGCTCTAGGTTTCGCTCTATTAGTTCTAAAGGATATAGATTCTTTCTCTACCCTTTAATCCTTATCATTAATAAGTAATAATATAATAATATAAGACTATATATTAATCACCGCATAAATTACTAAAACTTAAATTCTTTATTAAGTAACATAATTACTATTAGTTATGTGAAAGACCTTAGACTAAATTTTAGGAATCTAGAAAAAATAGATATATACTTATTAGACAAGTTAAAGGAGTTATTATAGCTTGCGAGTAACCTTTAAGAACTCACTCTCTATTTTTCCGAGCTACCCATAATATTTAAAGGAAGTAGTACACTAATAGTCACACTTAAGTTTAACGCATTAAAGTTCTTTACTACTTTATGGGCGGTTAAATCGCTCTCACTTTAGACACTATAGAATAGTTATAATGGCGAGTATACTTATAGTGTCAGAAAAAATTCACTAGTAAGAGAGGGTCGCCTATAATGCGACGGTAATATACATACTAATATGCACTCTATTAAGTACTGATGTGTTACCGTAAAGAGATACGAAGCGAATCAGTGAAGGACACTAACAAACTAAAGGCGTGTTTTCAGGCTGCCCTTAAAGCTTCATAACAGGAGTCTTTTCTTTAGAACCTATCTACAGCGTTTAAGTGCAAGAGATATAGCGAGCTATATTCACGGCCTACTGCAGCGGAAGTTAACAAGGTAAACTCAGCCGGTGATGAAGGCGAAGATAAAAGAGAATGTGTGGTCATGTAAGTAACTTGCAGATGTGGCTATGCAGCAGTTTAAGCTTTGGGATCACAGTATTCGCTCACTGCGCTTCGTTGACCTTGGTATTGGACACGGCAACTAGTTCCATAGCACCAGCGGTGATGCGAAATTGAGATCACCTGAAGCAACAGACATCGAGACTATTATTCACTGACTGTCTCCGCTCTTAGGAGAGACTTCTTTTAATTCGGCCTCTCACAAAAACTTTGTTCTGTAATTAACTAATTGGACTGTAGGCCTCTTGGGTGTGTTAATGTCGTGCTTGGTAGGATCCCAAGCCAAGACTAAGCAAGCTTTCACCCTCAAATGGTAAAAAGTTTCGCGTATACTTGACTTTCTCTGTCGCCTCATCCAGGACCTCGTTGTCCTGTACACGTATCTTACATGTCTAAATGGAATCCAAGTGCCGACTGACCCACGATGACCAACTTTTAATTTATGCTCGTCTTGTTGAGGTACCACCTCACGCACAATCTCGTGAGCTATAGTCTGGACGATGTTCTGATCATTCATTACATATTTGCCTCTTTTTTCGCTGCAGAGGACAGGCCCCGGGTATCAGAATTTTAATACTTTTCCCCTTGTTAAATTGAAGGAGATAACGTCTGTGGCCGCTTGGCTGGCGTACATTCGACCATTGCGGATCGGCTGACTGAATCGAGACACGATGTTGCACTTCGGGTGGTCCTCAAGTGCTGAAGCAGGGTGGGACGGCCAACTTCATTATCCTATCCCACTGAAGATAGAGAGAACGAAAACCAACGAATCGAGAAACCAATGTACAAGATTTCGTCAGATCAATTATCGACCGGGTTACAAGTCATAATCACCTGCACGACTGGGCTTTGGAACGTTACAAACAAGTCAGGAAGAATGGACGCAGAAAAGATATTCTCCAGACTCGCACGTTATAGTACTTACTAGGAGCTCATTGGCAATGGACATGCAAATTTGAAGGTTACGAACAGCGTTAGAAAATTGAGAGTATATCGTAGCACGCACGACGCGCGGTGTGGTGGTCCCGAATCATGTCTCCCAAGCAGACTCTTGGCAATATTTCTGTGGAGATCGCGTTGTATTGTGAGTGCTTTACGCACAGCAACTCCTTACGTAACTGACGGCCAATGAAGGTGTAGTTTTAGAAGAGGTGAGACGTTAGAGCTTGACTAGCTATAGCAGTGTGTTTCAGTGATGGAGTTTCCTATATTACACGTTTGATTCATAAGCCGGTGCGGTCTCTCCAAACTCACACGAGCATGTTGAGAAGGGATTATACTCTATACAGTATCTTTGAACGAATGGAGCCTTTGTTGCCTGTTTCCAGCAGAGAATGGAGACCCCGACCCAAAAGTTTGGCCTGTATGCCGCTCCTCTTGTTTGTGTGGCTTTTAGCTGCCGTTAATCTGTTCGGTGACGAATAAATGGCAATCTTACTTAATAGATTCTCCCAGCCGTTACTGCCACCAGGAACAGAGTGCGTATTTTTGAGTATTATGTGCACCGCAAGATTCTACTTCTGCTGCCGTCGAAGCCGAATAAACTGAACTTAGGAACGAAAAGAAAGGAAGGGGAGAAGCCTTATACTATTAAACGCGGGGTTGCCGTTGAGCTCGGGATCAGCCCACACATTTTCGAGGAAAGTAGACAGTATCGCACCGTCGTCCTACAAAAACCCGTGTCAAGCCGATGCAGGCCTCCAATACTACACTAATCTTGACCAAATGAAATCTTGGCTGAAATCGATTATGTTGTCCAAGCACGATGCGATTTCGACACGTGATACACTCCTGCCTGGATTTGAGCATGGTGAGAGGTTTGGTAGGATGAATTATATCACATTTGTGAAGCATTGATAGTATGCCGTGGCTGTTTCCTTGGCTTAGCTTGAAAAATGTTATACTAGTATCTGCGAGCTGGAAGATCTAGCTTGTGCCACTCACAATTGAGCAAATCGACAAAGCGACTTCGACGGCTCAGTAAAGGACCAAATGTTCTTTTGTCTGTGGACTAAGTCCTTACTTGAGCTCTCCTTCACAGACCCCTCTTCAGAAAAACTCATACATTTTAGTTCGAGTGGCATAAAGGCACCAGAGAGACGTATGCTTGAAGTATTATTGATCATCAAATTGTTCTCACACCCGTTAAGCCTAATATGTACATACTTCACCCAAGATTGGGGAATGAAAACCGTCTTCTGCATGGAAGCTTCATCTTTTTCTGTCCACGCTTTCGGCCGAGGCGCCTGTTCTGTGATATTCATGATTTCATTTTGCTTGTATTCGCTGTGAACGGTTAGAATGACGGTAAACAATGGTCTGAACGTCCTCCATGCTCGGTATGCCGAGGGCGACTCGGTAGACATGCACGATAAATATTTCATGGCTTTGTGCAGGTGCTCCGCTATTTCATCGATCTCATTGTGCAAGTGCTGGCAGTTCAGTGTCAATTCCAACATTAAGATTGCCGTCGCTTGCGTCACGTAATGAAGCAAGATCCACCAAGGGAGAAGCTGGTCAGCCTGAGGCGAGGAGGGGCTGTCCGGCATGATCTTTAGCAAGGACAACGCGGCGTGGACGCAAGTCCTTGCTGAATTTCGATTGAACTCGTGTAAGCTCCCAGATTGATTCTCGCCAACGGTCTCACACAGAGACGGACGGTGGAGAATCATCCCTAGGCTGTAATAATACATGGCCAACTCGACGCGCTCGCGGGAATCGAAATCCGCCGTCACAATGCTCTGGAGCTGTAGTTCGTCCGGCAATGTCTGAGTCCAGGAAATCAAATCTAACTGTAACTTGGCGATCTTATGTTGAATTTCGACCCACGAGTCGCTGGATGTCCCGCTGTACAATTGCGCGGCGATCCTGTCACTCAAAAGACAAAGCTGAAGTCAGTGAGGAAAATATAGAGGCGTGATCTCATGACCTGAAGTTGGAAAGCTTTTCCAGTCCATCGAAGTCTCTCTATCCCCCAAGCGAAGCTCGTGCCCTGCTCTCAAGTCGCCGAACCACATCCCCGGCGACTCGCCAGTGGAACTCAAATTCCCGGCGTGCTGGCCTACTTCCAGGCCCCCGGCCTGCGTTCTCTGCAAAATCTCAACAGGTGTCGTCACGTTCGATAAAGAGATCGATTTTGGCCGTCCAGTGATCTCGGCAATCGATATCTCTAAGCTGTATAATGAATACCACGTTCGTGCTCGTCGGTCTCTTTCTATCTCGTCGATGGCGGGATCGGAAACCCTGAGATGGAGACCCAGAGCCGTTGCGTGGCGTACGGCATGGCCCAAGGTATTCCACGCTCTGAGTCATAGGTTAAATAGGTACCTCAACGGCGTGTCTTAGCTTACCTGGAGATAGATCCATTGATAAGAAGATAAAATGCCAGAAGGCCGAGTCCTTGCACACGGTCAATGTCCGGATGATCAACCATAACTCTATGGTCGAGACCTAGTGCACGGGCCCGGGCATAATATAGAAGGTGAGTTTGCTGGATATCTGCATGATCATACCCAATAATCCGAAGCCATTTGGAGCCGATGGCCCATACAAGGTTTGCCAATGCCAGCCAGCGACGTTCCTTCCAACCTGGTAGAGTGTTTCGGCGTGGATAGGAGAATAAGGATTGCAAGAACGATTCACGGACCAGAAACGACAAGCTGCCTTGTATTGCCTTGAAATACGATTCCGACAGTAAGACAGCCGTCTTCATCGGAGGCCATTTGTGCGGGTTGACATGATCTTCGTCGACGCCCAGGAGATCAACGTCATCCATGAAAAAGTTGAAGTCTGCGGCCTTGGCTAGATGATGGTCCAGTTCGCCCATAGTAATATCGGTTGTATCCTTGTCTAAAGTGGTCTGGCAGTGCAGTATTTCATAAGCACGCCGGATCCAGGATATTGGTGACATTTCACCCATAAATCCCGAGGCTCCCGCGCCACTATCCAAGTCGACCTGATGAGTCAATTCACCGTGCTTTTCTAGTAGTACGATACTCGAAGCTCCCTTGTTTTCTCCACGTTCGTTGCCTGGCTCTTCACGTTGTATACTCTTGAAGTTAGTTCGCTTCTCCCTGTTGCTGCTTGCTAAATGCAAAGACCGACCACTTAGCTCTCCGCCGTTCCCCGACAGTTTCGCCGAATACTGCGGTATGTGTGTTAGTCCTTTCTTGACGTTGCAGGATACTATGTGAACACACAGTCGACAGGATATTAACTATGTCGCCGTGTTTAGAAGAATCGAAATCGTCACTCTCAGTCAAAGCCCGAAGCGCTGCGAGCAGGACTTTAGCCTCGCCTTTTAAATCTTCAGCGAGAACAAGGGATTCCCCTAGCAGTCTGCTCTGCGCCCAGTTAGTATCCGCATATTTTCGATCCCGGTAGACACTTCGTGCTTGATGTTGCGTTCTCTCTTACGATCTCCATACACGGATGTTGCGTTGTCGTGGACACATTTCGTACACCTGTCTCCGCCAGAACATTTCGTGCGCATCACTCTGCAGCGGTCGCAGGCATGTGTGGTTCGAGCCATGGTCGCACGGGATCTGCGCGCGAGAGGAAGATGGTCTCGTGGAAATCGATCCCCACCCAGTGATTCATCTTTTGTCCTGATTGACTGCAAAGGACTGACTCCGGCTAGATGCCTCCCCATTTCGGGAACTTGCCACCCACCGATGCTTCCGCACCGGGACCCTTAGCATGAGGACAATTCGGGCCGGGGCAACACAATTAACTCTACCAGAAATTTGCCTGCAAAGTTCGAACTAGGATGGTGAGACGCGAGAATTGTGTCCACGTAGCGCAAGACAATTGAGTAGGCAAGCGATCCTCGAAGAAAGATGTGCAGAGCAGATACTCAAGTATAGGGGTTTGGGGAAGAAGCATCACAACAGAGAGGCTGGTAGCCCGCCTGAGACGGCTATATATACTTTAATCTCCCGGTTGATTCTCAAGAAGTGCCAATCTCCGCCCGACTGGTGAATGTAACCAATCTTAGGGAAGTTTTCCAAACCCTTAAATGCGGCCAATCTGAAGGCGGAATCTGCACTGGGTGATTTTTCCGGCCCACTTCGGTGTTAATCAGGTTGTTCAAGACCAGTGATTAGTGATTCGGCATCAGACCAACCGCGTTCGCAGCACTAATGTTCACGCTCCGAACTTCAGCTTCCAGCCATGTGAATAACAGGGTCATTAGGGCCAAGTGTGCAAACCCGCATAGAAGCGGGTTCAAACGGCGGCATCAATGGATTGTTCTGACTGCGAGCTGGATGTTTCTTCCGGATGGTGTTTGTTCTTTGGTGTGGATCCAAGACTCGAAGCGCGTGAAATCATCGGGTTTGGGCAAAAGAGGGGAAGTGCGACTCAGCCGACCAATCGAAGAGGTACTACTTCTCGCATAACTAGGTTGGAGATTGTGCGACGCCCAAATCCGAAGGCATCATACTTGCAGTCCTGAAAGTCCATACCCACGGCTCTCCTCGTTAGATCCTGAGACAACTGCCGAAAAATCGGAACGGGGAGGAATATGTCTGAGTGGTAGGCCTCAATAGTTGGAGAAAGTCAGAACATGGGAGAATCTCAGTTACCTACCTATACTGCGTGCACATGGGACCCGGGGACAAGCCGCGTTCAGCCACGCATTTCAGATGATGACGTAACCATCAGGAGTCCGGTCAATCACTGCTCATCAGTAGCCAAATTCCTGTCCTAGGTCGAATGGGAATTACAGCTAAAAGCCATCACAGCCACCGCGGATTCTGGCTGCTGCAGGGATAAGGGGGGTGGTGCCAAGTATTGTACAGAACTAAATGACGGAAGGCTGTCATTCCGCTGGGCAATGTTTCTCACCCTTCCAACACGAGCAATTCGCAAAGATAGGCACAGATTATGTCAAGGCTCTTGAACACGTCGTTAGTGTATAGATAATTCCCATTCTACTAGACAAGAGAGGTATCTCGCGAAGTTGAGAAGCTCTGATGCAGCCCCGAATCATCAAGACCAACGAAGACCAAGTATTAATGGGGCGAAGCGGTGATTGATAAAGAACATATAGTTGTGCAACACCAACAAAGGCAACCAGCCTGAGCGACAGCGAGGTGTTCTGACGTCATTAATGAGGGGGCTCTTCATCCGCGATGGCGATGATGCTGGACCACGTGGCAGCGTGAAGAACTGTTCTTTGAACCTTGCTGGAGCATTTCAATCCGCTGCTTGTGCTTCTTACCATATTTCGACCACGGAAGTGTCACTATATTCCCAGCCGCACGTAAGGTATCATTTGGGGAGGATAGCGTTTCCTAGGCTTGAACATCACGATCGATCGCCATAGAAAGTGTTTCTCTGTACGACGAATGCCACCCATGACGTGGTGACAACCAGGACCGGACGAAGGTTACGTTAAGGTAACTATACCAAGGCAACCATAGCCTCGCTCGCAAGGCTGGAGGTCATCATGTAACCAATGTACTGCTGGACTAACGGACTGCTCAACAGTCCAAAAGTGCTCTCTGCGAGCAACTACAGCGTAGGCTACATGCCGCGGGAAAATGGACTCACACCTTCACACAGTGTCTGGTGTTAAACGCTGAAAAAGCGTGAACCAAGATGAGTCCACAACGCAGGGAAAAGACACGTTGCAACGTGCCACCACGAAAAAAGAGGGAGACACCATTTGAAAACCACCCGACCCGTCAGTATGAACATGTTTCAGGGCGTCGCCAGCGGCTAATTGCGATACCGTCTGAGGTTCCACAAGGAAACTGTGACTTGAAGGTGTTTATGATCGTACTTCAGTAGCTGGGCGTGTTACCGTGCTGAAAAATAACACTGCCACGACTAGATCTTTTGGAGTGGCAAGCAGATGGTTAGTCCCTCTCGAAGGTCTGAACACGGCGCAAGCTCACCTTGCGCCCCCTGGGACAAGTGTTGAGAATAAGGCGCTTGAAAATTGAAAATGGATCGCTTATTTGACGGTAAAGTGCTATGGAAGAAACACCAGGATCTCAATTGCTCTATCCGTTTGATCTGGAACAATTCAGATCAGCAAGCACACCAAGAAGTGTTCAGATTTCACCGAACCTAGCTTGCAATGCACCTCTGCCCCAACGTGGCTAGCATTCAGGCTGTCGGCTGTGCCGATGGACCTGTTACTTGCTTCGCCTGTTTGCACTGGTCGTTATCGGCCTTCAATGTGCGTTGTTATCGACAAAAATAGCAGCTAGCGTCCAAGGCCGCTTCTTCAGACTCTGCTACCTACCAACACAGTCTTTCTGCCATCCTTTACATGAGGACTTCTCTCTGGCTTATTCCTCTGAGATGTCAACACAACGCTCTGAAAACCAGCCTCCTTGCTGAAACGACGCCTCTTCGTACAGGCCCCTCTTGCGTGAGTCCGCATTGAAAGCACCTGAAAGTATGAGTTCCAATCTCTTAAAATCAACCGGTTTAAGTAGCAAGCCATCGAATCCCGATTTGGCGAAGGATTGTCGTTGCTCCTTCCGTAGAGTCGCTGAGATGGCAAAGATCGGTATTCTGCCATATTCATCCGTGGAGTGCGGGATGTCTGCCGTGGTTTTCTCCAGCGACCTGATCATCTGAGTGGCCTGCCAGCCATTAACAAATGGCATCTAGACTGTCAGCATGTCCGAAATGGTAAATAACGCGAAATGGTAAATAACGTCTCGAGGATGGGAGAATAACGCACTTCAAGGTCCATTAGGATAAAGTCGATAGCACTTTAATGGACCTTCACTAAATCAAAGCATTCTTGACCATCCCAGCTAACTCTGACCTCGTGTCCCATTTTCCCCAGTCTCCGTTGAAGAATTTGGAGGTTGATGGGGTTGTCGTCGGCAACCAGCACCGTCAGATGACGATCGCCAAGATCTTGCATTTCATCGGTTGATGGAGGGGAGTATGTTTCTGAAGGTGAAGCGATTATGCTTTGTTGTCTAGGATATTTCTCGTTCCGACTAGTAAAATAAGCTTGCAACTCTGCCGACTCCTCAGCTTCGCGATTAGCACCCACCTTGGGGCGCCCAGGAAGTGACTTTCGCTGAGCAGATCCTGGTGATTGGGCCTGAAGATTGAGACTGGATTGAAATGGATGTGTAGCCTCCGGGCAAAGCCTAAAAGGTAAGTCCAGGGTGACTGTTGAGCCTTTCCCTTTCGTGGACTTCAGTCGGATCTGTCCATTCCGGGTTTTCACAAACCGTGCGACTGGCGCGAGAACCAGTCCCAACTTCAAAGATTTCACACCGTCGCGAGAAATACGGGACTTTACCTCTAGGGGTGATTCCTCCTCCTGGAAGTCTTCACCGCTTACCTCTTCAAGGTCCATGAACAGGTCATCAAGCTCGTTATCTGACATGCCAACTCCGCTATCCTGGATTACAATCTGAGCTAGACAGTCCGTTTCTGTTTCAAAGACCTGACCCAACTGGATGGTGACGCCGCCACTGTATGTATATTGTATCGCGTTAGAGACTAAGCTCAACACGGCTTGCTGAAGGCGTAGCAGATCACCTTGCACGAAACGTGGAAATTCGGGATGTACGAAGACTTCGAAAGCTAGGGATTTTCGAACCGCATGCTGCCTGAGTTGCTCCAAGGTATGCTGTAGCCCCAATCTGATGTCAAAAGCTTCTTCAAGAGGTGGTATCGGTCCGTCTCTATTTCCAGTAAGATGCAGTAGGTCATCGATAAAGTAGATTAGAGATTTCGAGGCCGTGTGTGACATAGACAGAATTTCCTTTGTCGGCTTGTCTAACGGTCTCTCTGAAGCCAGTTCAAGATAGTTGACCAAAATGTTCAGCAGGGTCCGGACTGTGCGTTTCAGCCATACGTTGGTGCGGATGCGTGGATGTGGCTTACCTTCATGAGAAGCATTGAGCATGAGCAGCCGCTTCATTCGAGTATCTTGGAGTGCTGCTTCTTTCTCCCGCCAAACTCTGATAAAATTTCCATACACGAGCCTCGTCATGGCGGCGGTATCAACTTCGGAACGGTACTAATTAACCTATATTCAGGGCGTAACCTGGAGGACGTGTTGCTTACGTTGATCTCGCGTCCAGCCTGTGCAAGTCCCATGGACCCTTTCCGTCCACTTCCTGAAGGTACTCTTTGACGTCTGAGACCCGGATAGCGTTACACTGGGACTACCTGCCCAGTGGACTTCTTTATGTTGATCGTTTCAAAAAAATAAGACGAAATCAGTAGAATTTGGGGACAAAGGTATAAAGAGAAGGCCCGCGATATGTTTCAACGTTGGCTCATAGATTAAGTCAGTGAAGTCAGTAGTTATACTTTGTGTAGCATAGATATGCTGGAACTTCCTGAGGAATACATATCTGAGGAGCGTGATGGCTTCTTGGTACGACGCTAACCTTCCGATCGTTTTGGCTTCTCCCTTAACTACCAGAAACCCTGAGTCAGCCTGGAATAGCCTTAATAACTCATCGGAAGACGCACTGATAAACGCATCCGGGGTCTTGTCCACGTGAAGGGGGTTTTGAAGCTTGCGAGATTGAACCAAAGGGACATTTAAAAGCCTGTCTAGGCAGTTTGAAGCACACTGACTGACCCAGTAACAAAGCGTTCGAATTGGAAAGGGAATCCTGGTCGTGGCGAGGCCATATGAATGACAGCAGATCAAGCCCCAAGACTCACCCTGTTGGCGGAGAGACACCGTCATCGTCGAACGTACTCCCATGTCCTCCAAGTACTTGACATGAACCGGAGCCATTGTCCTTAGATACGCGTAGGTAAGATCGAGTGGCGTCATACCGTCGGTACCGTTACGGCCGGGAAGGCGCACAGGCTTTTGCTGTCGATCGAATAGCATTGGTATACTATTGATCCCATAGTCGTCTCCTGCCTGCTTGAGCATATCAACTGCAGGGAAGTGTAGTCCATTATAGATCTCTCTACCCAAACGAGGGTGAACTCGTTCTGCTACGACCCTTGCGTTGAAAGAGTTGTCGAATTGGTATACCATGCAGCGGTCGAACTTTGTTAGCTCCTGCATTACCCCGACGAGAATGTTCAGGAGATCTTGGATAACAATGGCGGCAGAGAGCCGTTGTTGGATTTGTGATATTACACTCAGGATCTCGGTAGCTCTCCCGTCTCCGTTAAAGAGGTCATCGATCCCTGATGAATGGCAAAGAGACCGGAGCGTGTTCCCTTGGATTTCAGCGGCGTCCATGGGATCGTCCTCTTGGTTCTCCAATGGCGATTGAATGTCCGAGAGTGGAGCCATCATAGCGATTCGGGGATGGATTAGAGGCTCGAATTCACATATTAGGACCGACTGGTCTATCCCCGCACAATGAATAGCACACCAACAAGGTATCAAGTCCCCCAGAGGGTCCATAAACAGTATGAGAAATACTTGCTTGGCGTGCAAAGGCTGGGCGCTTCTCCTCTGGAGATATGCTGGAAAAGCTGTCCAGTGCAAAGATGTCCCCCGCAGAGTACCTGCAAAGTGCATGAGAGTTCTCACTAACGGCGAGAGCCTCAAATATACCGTTGCTTTCTTCCTTCAACGCGACCAACATTCCATATGACTGGATAGTTCCCAAGATACATACCTGCTCCTGTTCGTCCTCTGAGGTTTTCGGAAGTTGTATTTCTGGCTGCAAAATCTCCTTTTGAGTCTGCAGATATGGAAACCCAGGACGTGTTGCCGCACTTTGACTTTCAGGATAATGCGGTCTTGCCTCATGTACGGCTGGTTGGGAAGACGTCAAGGCCTCAATACTGTCAGATGGGATGAGAGGACCGCTGGGTTTTTCACGGAAGCTTGCTATGGAAGCTAGGTATCAGAGGAAGTAGTTCAAATAAAGATATCTTCGGGTACTGACCTTGATGACCTTTATTCTGATTGTGTATACTGTCTTCGAAGACAAAGCATCGAATGGGGAACACACGCTCCATCACCGGCGACACGACTGGAGCTATTGATTTGTTGGAAGTGTGGAGTGGTTATATCTAGGGAAAGGAGACGCCTCAGGTAAATTGGATGAATTAACCCTTGATGATGAATTGTACAGAGTTACGGCGGGACTTTGTAGGCTATTGTCAATTGTCGTATGAATGAGGGGGTAGTGGGCGCCCCAGAGATAGACTCGATTCGTAGTCAAATGACCCTCTGTGCTCTGCAATAAGCCAGCCACCGCAGGGCCTATATAGATAGATGAAGATATCTAGCTAGGTGAGTAAGTGTTGGAGCCTGATACTCCTGCGTATCCAGGCCCTGGTATAACTGAGTGCTCCGGGGCTGCCGTGAGGCGTGTGGCGATAGGACAGGGAATGCATGGACTGAAATATGTTAGGCACGGTTGCGAACATGACCCTGAGCTCCAATAGCATCGCCAAGAGAGGAAGCCAGCAGTAAGTGACAAGGGCAACGGGCGAACGGCAACAGTCCCAGATTCAAGGAACAAGCCCGTCTTGGTTAGAAAAGGGACCTCAAATTTCAGAGGGAAGTCAAAAATTGAGATGTAAGGGAGGTGAACTTGATCCGGTAAACTCATTCGCTTCGGGCCCCCCGGAGTTAGAAGTCCGGTCCGAGGCTAGAACTGCGCAGCCTTTTTTGCAAAATGTGGCCGAAGTTTAACTGGCTTTTGACAAGGATGTATGTCGTACAGCGCGCGTTTCAACCTAGAAGAGACTGAAATAAGCTAGGTCAGCTGCTCCCATACGTACTCAGTCCCCTGGTTGCCTCTACAGCATGACTTTGCCAATCAAGTCTGGTGAGACCCTCTACCAGGGGTTCGTGCCAAGATGGACGGCGTCCAACTTCAAGTACAGTGAAATCAAGCGTCTTATGAAGGCTTGAACCTCGACCGGCGTCGTCCTTACTCTTGCAATACGCACCCAAGATAGAAGAGCTAAACAACATACTGTTCAAGTTGCTGCAGACTGAGATCAAAACTGTCGCTTTGTTCCCTGAAGCAAGCAGGGCGAGGTCGAACGCCGTCTTGGCCGTCTCGAAAATCAAACCAAGATAGCACAACGGGGAGTCGAGGGAAGAGAAGATTCACAGCAGACCGCAATCGTCTATGGAGTACAGGCGACGACTATCTGAGTCATTGTATTGCCTAAAGCATTAGCGCCATATTGCTGCCAGTCTGCCAGTCTGGAGCCGTCATCAGCCGGAGCTCATTTGCGCAGCTTTTGACACGTCGCGTCATGCCTGGCTGCCTATTGTATAACGGGGCGCACTATATGTATTCGGGTCACCCTAACCGCATGCCGCAATGGCCCGCGGGATTCTCATCTGAAATATATTTGTGGGATCTGAATGAAGCTGCTGCCATTGTCAGGCGTGGACGCTTTGGCCGCAAGAAGGCCTCCATTCTTTTCCTGAGCTAGCGCATTTAACGAAGTTATAATCCGTAGTTGCTATAAGCTCCTTTCGAACGGCTACGGCACTAATCTCACTCATCGTCTCTACCCTTCCTTCTCTCCGTCCGCGTCAACTCGACTTCCAACACTATCTTCTCGGAGACTTTTCCCTTTAAGCCGTTGTCGTCGTGGTCGAAATAGAGCGACCATACACCCTTCTCCTCCCTAACAGCCATAAAGCCTTCCCAACCATCCAGGGTAAGTCTTTTATCTATCCTCGTACAGTCCCAAGGTCCTACAATGTGAGGTTCGGATTCTATTCGATTGCCATACTTGAGCGCATATGTGTCTTGATCCATGTATATCCAGTTCAGCTGTGGAGGTTCATCGCTGATGGTCGAGACAAGTCCTTCCCCTTTGCGACCCCAGTCTTTGTCAGGGAAAGGAAGAAAATATCCTGCGAAGATATGTGAGGCTGGACCCTCAGTAGCAGGTGTTGTGATATATAGCTAGATATGTATTTATTAGTCATGCGGCGTCCTTTACAGGTTGGATCTTACGAGCGATAGTCTCCGTACCTTCTGATTCCGCAGAACAACGTTTCCCCCGTTTATCTGGCTCGTAACTCTCGATGAACTGCGGCAAGACACAACGAGGTTCGACTTCACACCTCTGTGCTGTTCTTTGGCGGACTTTTTTTGACCTTGGCGGACCGCTTCGGTGGTGCCAATGATTGCAGGACAAGCTGCGATTGCGGTAACGATCCCCAGGACCATGGTGTCACAAGAAATTTGGTTGTTGAATGGAGAAACTAAGGACGCCGGCTGGTTTCTATCTATTGTGTGAAGGCTCAAGGGTATGTTTTCCAACGTGATGGCAGCCAACCGGTGGGATGATGGTCGGGCCTCAGCCAAGGGGTGCTCCCTCGTGAGAGTCTAGAACACATTGATGATCTTGTGTTCTACACGACGATTCACCATGATGTCACCACATTCTCACTCCAGCCCAAGGACGCCAGGGTTATCCTGGCCTCACCCCTTAGCCAGAGTTCCCGGTGTCAGCAGGGGACCAGTATTTACTCTCATGCCACCCTACCTCGTACCCCGTTTTTCAGATATATTTTGAGGAATCTTGATTCTCACATTTTCTTAGCGCTATAAATGGATACCGGTGACGAGTCGGACAAGACATGCAGAGGAGTGAAACGAAGCCCTCGTAACTGTGCTGAACGAGTTATTGATTGACACTATACTTAAGGAATGCGACTCTCTTGCTTTGTTGAATGTTGAGTCACATAACTTTTCCTTCGACCTACCTTACATCCTTGCTCCCCTGTTGTGTGGTACCCTCGGACGTCAACCCCGATAGCTGTCAGCCCCAATAGTGGAACATGTCACGCACTCAAACGTGAGTGTCGATTCCAGTTTTTCTTCGTTGAAACACACATTCTCCTTACCACATATGACTAACGTCTCTCTGCAGAGCAGAAGCCCAAGGTTCAGCTGCCTGGGAAGCGAAAGAAGACGCATCAGACGCTGAGCCGTCCCCACTCCCTCGAGGTGGCCGGAAAGCTCCCAAGCTCCAGCAAGCCGTGCAAAAAAGGCCGGCAAGTGACACTACCCAGTCTATCGGCGCAGAAGACGATGTTACAGCTCCCCAGGCCAGTAGAGGGAGAAGAATCGTACCGGTGCATCAATCTCGAATTCAGGATCGACCGGCGAAAGTGGGTGAGAAGGACAGCAGTCTCAAGATCAAGATTGAACTGGATCTGGAAGTTGAGGTAGACATCTACGCCCGTGTCAAGGGAGATGTTACGATTGGGTTAATGTAACTGTTTCTATAGGTCGAGATCTACGCAAGAGTCAAAGGAGACGTGACCATCGGATTATTGTGAGACGTGAGTCAGATTCAACACCTTCAACCACTTTAGTAACAGTATCAAGCACTGCAGAAGCATGACATTGCCTTGCGTTATCCGAGTTATGAGCAGGGATTGAATGGTATCGGCCCCGATCCTTTAGTCGTAATTTGACTCAGGTGAGATTTGGGAACAGCGACAATTCTGGAAAGAGGTGGGAGGTGCCGTTCCGGAGGAGGTCGAAATCCAATGCATTACAGGGTTTTCTGGGGCATGGCATAGTACTTGCAAAATATTATTCCTCAAGTCTGTGTCCTGGGGCAAAGGGTGCCGTTTCGCGACGACGTCCGTAGCCGCTTTTGCGATCCCTTTCCACCGACCGGCTCCACCTATCCCCTCGCCGCTTTTGACAATTTGACGTACAACGGTCTTCGCTCTCGGTCGCTCTGTACCTCCCGTACACTATCCTACGCTCTCTTTCTGTCTCACGTCACATTCTCAACCGCGTGCATGCATGCATTCATGACTTTTCAACCCATGTCGAAGACCCTCAAGACTGAGACCGTGGAGCTCTCTCACATTTCAAATTGTCTGCATTCCACGTGCTGCCCCTTCGTCGAGATGCCCCCGCTCAAACAGTGCCCGAAGTCAACTCGCTTCTCGCGACGCCGTGATGCCTCTCGTTCTTTGCCCACCACTGTGCTAGCGACGCGAGCCCTGGACGATATGTACGACGGCATCGCCCACATGCCGACCTCACGTTCGTCACTTCTCTCACTGCCTGCGACCTCTCTTCACTCTGTTCGATCTTCTTCCTCGTGCCCTCGAGCCCCATGCCTCGCCGAAAGAAGTTGACCACCGTCAACCTGAGCTCCGGGGGCTCTTACTCCAGTCAAACTACCGATGACGTCTGCACACTTGACGACCTCGCCCGCAAATATGAGGAGGCCTTGTCGGAGACCCGTCCCACGACGTTGTATGCACCGAATACTATCTACCACGTTGAACGCATTCAGCGTCTCTTCGAGGAGTACGTGCTATGATCTGTGATGGATTTGAGCGCCTGTTGACTCTGCAAAGATACTGTGGCAAGGTCCAGCTTGATCCAAAGGTGACACTGCGCGAGTGCGCCACGGCTCGGATGGAGAACTTCCTGCATTGGCTGCTCCAGACTTTCACCATTAAGAAAACCAGCACGCTAACGACCTACTGGCGGCAATTGAGTCAGCTGTACATCATGTGGACACAGCGTCGTATGGACCCGGCCGTGATGAGACAAATCTTCGTGGTACGTAGAACAAGCAATTTTATACGACGCCAGACCGCTGATACCACACTACAGTTTATTGAAGGGCCGTTGACGGAAGAATATGGCATGGACAACGAGGAGATCGAGAAGCCCCTCATGGAGGCGGACGATTTCGTCGAGCTCATTCGTTACCACTGGGCCTCGGATATCAACGGATTTCCCAATGAACGACAACGTCTCCAGTTGGCGGCGATTCTGTTGCTGGCAGCTTTCACCGGGTCTCGACCTCAAGCATTGTTGAACTTAACCTACGGCGATCTGGACCTCTATATCGAGAAGAACACCGAGACTCACGCCGACATGCTCCGGCTAGGCGTGAAATTGACAAAGACGAAGTCCCGACAGAAGCGGAAACGACCGTGAGTACCACTGCCGTTGGGGAGTGCATGAGGCTAACGCGACTACAAAGGAAGACGTACACTTTCAATCTAGACGATAACCCAATCTTCTGCGTCATCACCCACGTTGTCAGCTTGGCTTTCGATGACTCGGCTTTCGGGCCCCCCGATCTTAAGTC